TATCAATATTTTTATTACACTTGTATAATGTTTTATATGCATATAATTTGGCTTTCTTAACCGACGCTCAAATTGAAATTCAAATGTCAGAGTTATTGTCAGAGAGATGGTCATAAACCGAACAGTTCTACAAATGTCAACAATGAACAGAAAACAAACACTGATCTCCTTAATAAAAGCACCATGATTTCAGACTTAGGACTCCTTGACACTGGTTTGAACATCTTTCATCATTTACTCTAATTGCATATGGCATGAACTGCATTCTGTACAGCTGCAAATGTGCAGGGTTTCCTGGAAAAAGAAAACATAAAATGAAATTATAGGCATGTTTATTGTAAATTTTGTAATACACATTTCATACACAATTAACATGTTTAAAATGTTTTTGATTGTGATTATCCTTCACATTTCATGTACAATTGGTTTTAATATCACCTTTTTCTCTCCCAAAAGTAATGCATTTAGAAATCATGAAAAATAAACCTCAGTTATAGAAAATAAAAAAAAAAAATCTTATTTAACATAATTTACTTGTACATTATAATTCATTTTATCTTGTCAACTTGCTAACAAGTGACTTTTCTCTATTTTCTGCTTGTATTTATCTATTTAATGTTTTTTCTTGGTTTTCTTTTTTTTGGTCTAAGACTTGAAATTTGAATATGAAAATCTATGTAACAACAACATGATGACCCGAAAAATTCAACATTTCTTGCAGTTTTACTCTCAATATTTTTGAAAGAAGAAAATCACTTGTTACGAGAAACTGCGGACATGTCACGTCAACTCAGATAATGATGTTTAATGTGTATTTTAATGACCATGTAAACATAGATGATAAAAATAAAATCATACATACTTTTTAGGTTAAAATCCCTCATACTGTGATGACGCATGAGTGCAGGCAATCCATTTTCTGTAATGATTAAAATTAAAAGATAAACTTATGTTTCATAACTCACAATACATCATACATACATGTACAATATGTAAGTGCACTGCTGAGTGAGCTCATTAAACATAAGCAGAAGCATTAGAAATGGTCATGATGATTCTACATTCATTTATTATCAATTACACAGAAATGAAAAAAAAAATTCTGACCTTATTAGGGAAATGATAAGAGTAACAACCCGATAAAGGCATAATACATATGATTCTTTTAGTCTTAGAGCTCATTGATAGCTGATTGAATCATATGAAAGAGTCAATATTACCCCCCCCCCCCCTTCTGTGTACACTACTTCTTTTTTCCGCACCCAATTTTTGTTTTATTAAATAGAATAAAATGTTTATAGCTTAAGACATTAGAACATTGTTTAAAGGGATAAATATGTATAAAAATGCACATATGTACAGTGCACAGTGTGAAGTATACTTACATGATCTCGCACATCATCTATTCAAGTCCGCTGTTGACGGTTCCTGTAGAATTATCCAAACAAACCGAGGATATTTAACAGAAAAACATGTATCACACTTTTACACAAGTAAAAATCGGTTAAATCATCCAAACGAGCTGAAGAAATACGGTCTTTCGATGCCTGCACTCTTCGTTGTTTACATTCCCAAATTCTTCCGGTGATCGTTCACGGTTAGATCGTACGCCGTGTTACTCGAAGTTTATGATATAAATCTGTGTTTATAGAAAAGAATGTTTTATTTTCTATTGAAAATTTATAAATATTTCTTTTGTTAACATTTTATATCGTATTTCGTTTTTGTAATTTATTCTGAAATATGAATAAACCTTTGCTCGAATCTGATTGGCTGTAGGATACAGGATAGGATAGGATAGGATAGGATTGGATTAACTTCTATATGTTTCTATCGTGAATCCTAAATCCTGAATCCTATCCGATCCCATCCCATGTCAACTTGTGGGATAGCAGCACTGTACTTTTTAAAAAAAATCTTACCCAACTTATATTCAAAATTCTTACTTAAAAATTTCTAGTTCATACCACCTTTTGCGGAAAAAGTCTGCACCTTCGATGGATTTAACTGCCTTTCTATTTTCCTTCATAATACAGTATGCTATAAGAATTTTCACGAATTTTAGCATAATATATATTTATGTACATGAATAGGTTTTATATAGTATACGTATAAAATAATCATTCTTTTAACTCTCTATGATTAAAACGCATGCCTTTTTTTCCCAATGTGTGTACAGACTAAGCACTTACGCCTACTCACGAGCAGGCCTAGATTTAAACCCAAATTTAGTCTCGACTAAGTCTCCGCCTTTTTGTGAAACGCTACTTAGTCCGATTCTCGGGTTTAGTCACTGATTTAGTCCGGACTAAGCTTACGACTGGACGTAGGCCTTTTTGAGAAACTAGCCCCTGGAGTAGATTGTGTCGTCGTTCTCTGTATCTCATTCAAGAGGTTATCAGCACTTTATTTCTACATACGAATACCTTTGAGCTGCATTTTTGCGATAGATCAATTGTTACTGTAGCTTAACTTATTCTAATAAAGCGATCGTTGAAAAAATTCAAAAAAATTATTATTGCCTTATTAAACAAATGATTTGTCTTTTTTAGGAAAATAGTTAGATTGATCAAAAAAAGTTTCTGGAATTCTTGCTTTATTACCAAATGAAACAAAATCGTTGGTAAAAAAAAATTTCTGACCAATGCATTTTTGGTCATTTGGTTGTTTTTTTTTTTCACCTTTCAGTATAGTTTGCAGATCTACTACCAGGAACTAATTATACCATAATATATAAAATATACTTAAGGAGGCTCATTATGCCACTTTTTGATGACGTACTACACAAAAAATAAACCTTCATTGTTTCGATCGTTTTCCTCATGGGACGAATTGTACTTTTATAATATGACCCTGACCTACGAAGTAACAGATTCATTATCATAAACCAAGAAGGATTGCTTTTACGCAGAAATAAAAGAAAAACAACAGCCAAATCTTCGCCAAAGAAGAAATGTGCAATTTCAAAGCAAAGCAGTAAGCTCTTTCAATCAATGACATGTTTGGATGGGGGAAATTTAAGTTAAAATCTACAATCTTGTTGAAATTAAAAGTTATTCATTTGCACTACTAGTAACCAGTAACTAAGAAGTAACTAATCTACTGGTGTTGATTTATATATTTGCTTTATTGATTTAAATATATACTCTATTTTAGAGCTTTGTTCCGAATTTTAGATATAATGTTAAGTTCAAACGTTCCTTAGTGTTTTGAGTCGTGAGTAATTAGGAAAATTAACTTTTGAAAGTGGACTTTTCATGAAAAATTTTCATTTTGTTTAAACATTTTCCTTTCAATTTATCTCATGCAATTCATTGAAATACATTTCTTGTCTCTCCATTTTGTTAATATTATATGCACAGATTAAAAAGATAATGACAATTGTTTTTTGGAAGGAAATTAATTTTTTTTTCTAATGTGGAAGAATGCTTAGGTAGTGTAGGTTTTTATGGTAACAGGTTTTTAATGCTGAAAAATATAAATAATCTGCATTAGCTTTGTAAAGAAAACTAAACTGAAATTCTGTGAAGGTCATTAAATGCATATCTTTCTCTGTTGTAATAATTTTGAATAATGCAGAAAAAATGTTTGTTAAAGCGTATAAAACAATTAACTTTTTAACGAATATTTTTTGTGAACGGAAAAATGGAAAATTACAACGTTTTAGCTACTGTTCAATCAGCTACTGTTCAATTTAAAAGAAAACATTCAATTTCTTAGAAATAATTTTTAAAAATATTTTTCAATTATTTTTTATTATAGGACATTCTACTTTAAATAATCCAATAGCCAATCCTTGTATTCAGCATGAAACTAATCTGAAATCAAATGTAAGTTGTAAAAGCGAAGTCATTTATTAGTCATTTGTTATTTTTTTTTATATTTTAAACAATAAAGAGAAAGATAAAATTTCCCCTGATTGAAAGTTATTGAGGCACTCATATCATTAATGATATCTTCAGCACTAATATTTCTCTTGTTTGTTTTCTCTTAATATATTATTTTCTGAAGGTAAAAAAATTAATTGTTTGATCTTTTAGAGATAATTCATTTCAAAGCGTGGATAGATATTCGTCATCGACTGTATTTTATGGAAATGCCTTGAACTGTACAGGTAACGAAGTTAAGATAAATACATGTCCAAAAGGATCAAGTAACTCTCCATCAGAATCAGCTGTAGCTGTAACATGTAAAAATAAGGCTGGTCGAGTAAATGTTGAAAAGTAAATTGGCCAAAGGTATTAATGTATAAAATTCTAAATTTGCTATTTTTGCATCTATATGTGGACATATTTTATATTTAGATCATATAAATCCGTGGCGTAGCCAAAACTATTCTTGAGAAAAATCATTACTTTGTTTAATCATTCATGTTTTCTATCCTTTCTCTCCAAAAGGCAACACTCTCTGGATTCATTATGTATACTTTTGATACAGAAGACTGGAGATCAGGAACCCTCTGTTATAAACACAACATACAACAAATACAACACAATCACACCCTTATCGACAGCTAAATGATTACTTCATCACCTAATTCGTGTGTTACCCCCAATTTAAATGTTTGTTTTACTTTTACTTGTCAAATTTATTTAACCATTAAGTATTACAACAAACAGTTCAAACGATTTGAAAATCGACAACGTTACAATTAAAAAAATAACTTGTAGTTTTGAAAACGGTAAAGTTGTATAGTGTACTGTAAAACAAATTACTTCATTACCTAATTCGTGTGTTACCCCTAATTCAAATGTTTGTTTTACTTTGACTTGTTAGAATATGGTAACCGAAAAAAATGTAAACTCAATACACTGTATGTCTTTATCAAGTGCCCTTGAAATAGATGAAGCAATATATAAGGAGAGAAAAAATATTTCCACATTTCATGTACGTAATAATTTAAAATGATCATTTGCCCTTCCTTTCTAAGAAATAAGAAACATTGATTTCGAACCGGAAAACCCAACGTACGCCTCAGGAATAAGATGTGTAAATAAAAGAAAATAGTGTGAAGTGAAGCATTACTTTATTTAATTATTTTATTAAACATATTTGACTAGAAATTGAACCTTTAAGAGAAAAAAATTTAACTAATTGGCTAATAGTTTTTTTTTTCTTTTCTATAGATATCAAATATAAATCATATATACATATTAATGAATAAATCAAGTTGAAACAAACATTACAAAGCTTAAAAAAATTATTTAACCATTAAGTAATACAAAAAATAGTTCAAACGATTTGAAAACCGAGAACATTACAGAAAAAAAGACTTGTAGTTTTGAAACCGTCAAGGTGTATAAAAACAATATATATTTTAACTCTGGAGGAAAGAATTGGATAAAAATTAACTTAAGTTTAAAACTAACCAATATAACAAATATATATCAGTGTTCTTAAAACCTGTTCAGAATACTGTAGTACACAAAGAACTACATCTCATCAATCTTTGAAAAAATATCCTTGAAAAATTCAACTTTAATCAAATTGTCAGAGCTTTGATTTCAATCGTGAAAATCATATATATTGGGAATTGTTGAAAAGATGGATCTTCAAACTCATCTCACATTTTATTTTTTTAATTTCAAATTATAGTGAAATAAAAAAAAACCCACATCAAAGCCCTTTAATCAGAATTACGCGGGCTTGAGCAAATTGGACAATTGAAGACGCAATACATCCTCGTCTTCACTTTTTTCTGAAGGCCATTTAAGGTAGTCTATGCACCACCATATATTTTTGATATCGTTCGGGAGTCTCTCTAACGGTATATCGTCTTTGATGATGACAACAATGGAACTCTGACGCTGGTTGTGGAAGGCGTGAGTAACCGCCATCTGGACGGCGTATGAGGCCCAACCACTCTCCAGAAAACATTCAGTGATCACGAACAACACTTTTCTACTTTCATTTATACATTTCACTATCTCCTCTGCCTCCCAATCTCCTGGATTTGAATCTCTGTCCTTAAGCCACGCCTTAATATTAAAGCTTTCTAATTTTGGATACAGATAATGAACAATCCAGGTATAGTCTTTCTCACCATATGACACAAACACATCATAAATGTAGTTGTTTTCTTTGTTTTGTAAATGTACACCTTTCCATCTGTTTTTAAGCCGCAGTATGACATATTCTACATGTACACGGTATCTTCGTAAAGCAGCCACTATCAGAAGTACAGACATAGTAATCAAAATCAATACCACAGAGAAAATAAGCCATTGTTTAGTTTGGCATTCTTTATCAAATTTTCTCCACATTTGTTCATTATGAAATAAGTGGTTGATAGGCACTCGGTTTCCTGCGCATAACGTTTTATCAATATCAGAAAATACATGTTTATGACTTCTCATCCATCGCAAAGACTGAATAGCTGAACAGGTACAAGAGATCGGATTTCCTTCTATGTAAATTGATATTGTACTAAGAGTTTCAATGATATTTTGGTCATTATTTGAGAACTCAGATATCAAATTGTATCGCAAATACAGATATTGCAAATTCTGCATATATTCGAAGGTGTCAGGAATGTTAGAAAATTAGTTATTGTCTAGATTTATTTTTATCAAAGAATGATGCTGATCTATAAAAAGAGGAAAAGGTATATAGTTTAATTTGTTTCTTGAAAAGTCGATTGAAGAAAGGTTTTTTAGATTTCTAAATAGATATTTCGAATTTGATTTTTCTGTGAAATCTAGATTCGTGCCAATTGCATATAAGTTCTGAATTCCTCTAGAATGCTGGAATAAGTTTGAGTGTACGTTTTTAAAGCTATTACCCGATATGTTAAGTGTTTTTAATGATGGAAAATCAACTTGGTAGACATATGACAGTTCTTGGATGTACAGTTCTTGTAATCCTTCCCCAATGATTTGGAAACTAGGTGTCAATCTTTTTATATTATGTACATAATTTTTCGAAACATCAAGAACTTCCAGAGTTTTAGGCTGTGTTATATTTATAGATGTTGATCTATCATATTGATAAATATTTGACTAATTTTCCCTTGTTTTGGGGCTATTGCAGCACAAATTCATATTCTTCATATTTGGTGCAAATAAAAAAGAGAGAAGGCTTGATAAATCGACATGATATAAATGATTGCTGCTAAAATCTACATATTGTAGACAATTCCATAACGTTGTATTGTAAATATCAATGTTTATAGAGTTAATGCGATTCAGTTGTAAAAATAAGGCACGAACACATACATTGATGAGATATTCTGACAAAGATTCATTTAATACTATGACACTTGTTTGAATATCTTTACTGTTTTGATCCATATAAATTCTTCCAATATTGCGATGCTGGAGACATTTTAGAGAGTGCAAAGCCGGAGTAATGTCACATTTCCCACCAAAGCGAATTCTAACCTCATCTGTTAGATATGGAAAGGAACAAAACAGATCTTCAGTAACGTCACAAAACACGTGATTTTTAAAAAGCATATTAACCCTTTCTCTTCCGGCGCATTTTTACGTGATTTTGGAGGCCTTTTGACATGGCATTATTAAATTATTTCTAACTTTTTTATCCAAGCGGAAAGCTAGGCATAATGCATACCATTTTGTAGGAAATTTCTTACAGATGATATTTTATGACTGTTTAGATACTCAACCACTGACCTTATTAGTAAAAATTGAGGTCAAAGGTCAATTAAGTGCAAAATTTTATGGAATTTTTTGATACTTATTCATCTTTAAGCTAAATATTAAGTATGATGTATGTTGAAATAGGAAATTTGGGATATACCCACAAAAGAGCATTATACTGTACTACATGAAACACATAAACTTTTTTTTTCAAATCTGCATATAACTACTTAAAAGGGGTTGCTAAGCAACGCAGAATTTTTTAATTTTCGGGCAGAAATTTTCATTTTTTCCTCATCCTAGACACATTTATGCATCCCAGCAAATATATAAGTTAGATGTGAGGTCATAAAATTACAAGGGACATACAACAGATAAATTGTCTTAAAGTTTTACCTCATTAGAACTATTTTTAGGAGGTCAAAGGTCAAATAAGTGCAAAAGTTTCATCAATTTTTTTCAACACTTTTCAATATTCTTGCCATAATTTTACACAATGGATGCTAAAATGGAAAATTCTGAATATACTCTCAAGAAGGGATCAGAACTGCAATATTCATGCATCATTTTAGTTCAAATATCTGTTTAATGACCTTTAAGTGGTTGCTAAGCAACATCATTTTAAAGTTTTTGGCTATATACATGTTTGTTATTTCACATTCTGGACACATTCTAGACACTTTTTGTATACTTCATGATATTGTTTGTAAGATATGGGCCATAAAGATGAAAGAACATTTTTGTATTAAAAATTGACCTTGACACTCTTGTTCTTCAGGGGGTCAAGGTCATATCAGTACAGAATTTTGCTTTAAACTGTAAGTAAATATCAATTTTGAAATGCTTCAAACATGGATAAATCATCTAATAGTTGATGTAATAAAAATGGCGAATGACAAAATTTGCAAGCAAAGAATTCTGGTCTGCTTCTTACAAAGCCCTAGCAAAACATGTATACTATCTTTTTGTTAAACAAGAAATCCATTCTCTTAAAAAATAATCTTTATTTTCATGGATTTAATTTAACAAGAAAAAAAAAACTAAATGATTTCAATACAAGATTTTTCTGGTATAACAGAGCTTAAGGGGTACAATAAAGACTTGACATGTTATCTTGGAGGGATATAATAATAATAGAGAGCATTGGCAATATTTAATGCAAAACTGTTTAGTCAATAAGTTGAAAATTTGACGCTTATATCCAAATATACAAATCCAGAAATACTGCAAGATGAATACCAAATCAGACTGAAATCTTCAACAAAATGTTGAAGAGCACTTTTACTTTGTCTCCACCATTCTTTTATCAACTGTCATTTCTCTGTAAGACTGGAGGAAATTCTTTGACTTGTCCAAGACATTATTATTTGCTGTCAAGTACAAGTGATCAGCTTCTATCCTGTAAAAGATTTAAGTATTTTGAAACAGATACATGTCATTGTGAATATAAATTTATATTTATAAATAAAATTAAGAAAGGTAAAATTACTACATTTATTTGATTTTCCTTTTAAAATTAAAATTGTATTCATTATGTGATCCAAGTACTAGTTAAATGATATTGTTAAGTCAATGTATCAGGACTGGTAATTCAACCACCTTGTAGTAAACCATCATGGTAAAATTACTGAACTAAAACAAATAGCATATATGGCAATCTGACTAAAGCCAGACCTCTGTTTACGCTATCGCAACATGTAAAAAAAATCTGGCATTAGACTGCTACGAAAGCCAGGAAGGGACACGTAAATTTTTCAAAAAAGTAAAAAATGATATCGAATTAGACAATCTAATCCCACGGATTACTAGATTGTTCCCTCGATTTATATTATGAGATCTCGAATTACACAATCCGATCTTAAGGATTACTAATTCGCCCCCTTGATTCATAATTTGAGATCTCGAATATCATACTGGTAATTTGTTTTCACAGATTGATAATTCAACATCTTGATTTGTTACAACGTCAGTCTTATGATTTTGGAAAGCTGTGCTCTTGAATTTCATTACATATATGTACAGAAACATCCAACCATTTTAATCAATAAGTGCGTTCTATTTATTTTGTTTCAGCAACCGGTCGTTTCCAACCTCTTTCATAACTAATTCAACTATATTTATTTTAGAAATATTATGATTACACAGGACCCATATTCACTTTTACTATCTAGGACTTTCAATTATTCTAATATACAAGTAACACAAAAACCTCTAATATTTTTTGTTGTACAAATATCAGTACTAGCACATGGATTTGAAAATGTTCATGTATTTTTCTCATTTTGGACCGTAATATGTAATAAAAGTTAGGATGTAAAATACTACAATATTCTATTTTTTAAACATGTATTACCATATCCAATATGTACAGATAAATAATTTAAACGAAATCATGGGAAGGGTTAACATTCCGAGGGAATGAATCATTTAAACTAAAAGAATGAATTATACAATCTGAGATAACGGATTGTGTAATTAGGGAACGAATTGATAATCTGTGAGAATGAATTGGCAATTTGTTATAACAGATTGTCAATCCGAGAGAACGGATTGTATAAATCAAGAACTCGATTTACTTTTATAAATCTTAAAAATTCTATGTCCCTTCATGGCTTTCATAGATTTCATACCTGCATGGCTGCCAGGGTTGTAAAAAGAAAGGAGACAATAGACTGCAATGTTACTTCAGGGCAAAATCCCTGGGGCAAGGCTGTTCGTGAGCACGGGAGTGTTGATAAACCATCCAGTGAATTTGACCATCCATGTATATGATGTCCGATAACTGGAAAGTGTCTGAAAAATTGAGAAAATGGAAATTCTAACCACATACTTTATGCAGATTGGAAATACAACAGCAGTCTATAAAAACAGCTTGTTCCATATCTCGGCATTCATTCAGATAGATATTACATGTTTAAATAATGTGTCTGTATGAATAATCAAGCATCATATGTATTATGTGTTTCAAACACTTATTTTTAAAAATATAAATCAAATGTTTATAAACTTGTATGAGAATGACACAAATGAAATTAGACTTTATTTTTTGAAATTTTAGAATACAGAAATTTTCAATACCAAAATAAAAAAAAAAAAAATTACCTGTTCATTGGTGTCCTTACATATTAATTGACCTTCGTAGTTCATGGTGGGCTTAGAAAGTGGGTATTCACAGATGAAAGTATTGTTGCATATGGTGAAAGCACCCTAAAATTTCAATGTGAAAGTGGTACATCACTACATGTACACACTGGTACATAGATACTGAAAACAACTATCCATTATTATGACAACTTTGATTTTACTTTGAACTTACGAGTGATTTTCAAAAGCATCAAAGTTCAAAAGCAATGCAAAATTTGCTGAACGATACGAAACACGCACACTGAAACATAAAGATCGAGTACATGTGTACCAGACCTGGTGTACATTCAGTTTTCTTTTGAACGTGAACTAATGCGTTTTAAACTTAAACTTTTCAGTCAATATACACGTATTCTCACCTGCTAATACTAAAGGCATGTCCGTATTATTTGATTCATTGATGTAAGGATCATCGTCGTGAAATAATCATGAAAATTGACGTTCAGATTTCGGATCACCATCATGTTTACACCAAAGCGGAAACACGTGTTTATTTCAATTCGTATCAACTCATACAGTGATGAGTCGTATTTATTTATAAATGCGAGTTTTTGTATTGTTAAATATAGATCTAATTAAATTGCAAATTAATAAGTATACAGTATAACAAGATACAACAATATTAAAAATCTGATTGATTTTTTTAGTAAAGATCGACGTTTTGGAAATCTACAATTTTTATCAATATATATTGTATATCACTTCATGAAATATACATCATTACATGTAGATGAATAAATCAACATTCACTTCACAAAAGGCAGAACGAAAGTATATATTTGTTTTTTTGAAATCTATTTTTTTTTTGTATTATGCATTTATTTCAGTAAAAAATATATTTAAATGGTCAAAAAAGTGTTATAAAAGAATTTGTTGTTTCGAGTAAGACGCAACAATATCGACCTTGACGTTACATGTAAATATTGACCGATTTTTCCATAAAAACTAGGCAAAGGTCACAAATTCAAATTATCTTAATTAAGAAAATACTGAGCGTAAGAAGACCTATAAGGGCTTGTTGGAAAGGAAATTTTCTCTACTTTTACCAGCTTTATTTTGTTTTCCCTATTTCAACACAGAAATAAACGTAAAACTGAGCTTTGTTTAAATATTACGAATAAAATCGAGAAAAAACACATAAGTGCAAGAAAATTCTTGTTTTTAAAATATACCTTAAAGTAATAACAATAATTTTTACATATTTTAAAAGTAGAGAAAATATGCTTTAAGAATATACCATGCTTTCTTATAAAGTTAATCAGGAAAAAAATTGTCAATCGTCTGGAAAATCGGCAATCGCTTTGGAAAATTACGCCATTTTCAAAAAGTCTCGTTTGTCTTCACAACGTAAAATCGATTAAATACCGGCAATCAAGATATAATCTTTTTAGATATTTTAAAAGTAGAGAAAATTTCTAAAAAGATGATATATAGCTTATATACCTTCACGCTACCACAAAATAGATACGGAGATCTTATTTTCGCGAAGTCGTGTTTTAACGCGCCACCGGTCAATTTGACCGGTACGGAAGTGAAGGGGTTAAGATGATGAATTTTGGAGCGCCGGAGTCCTAAGAAGGAAGTTTTTTTAATACTAAAATCATTTACGATATGAAACTGTAATTCAGATAAGTTTGTCAAGCTTTCAAATGGTGCTGTAAATGAGAATCCGCTGAAAATATCGATATTAAGGCTGGACAATGACTGAATTGCAGAAAGAGCAACATCAGGGTAACCTTCCAACTGGAAATTATTTTGATCAATTCGAAGGTACTTCAGGTTGTGTAAATAAGAGAAAGCTTCGGTCTCTATTCCGTTTTTATCAAGATCACAACTTGAAAGATCTAGACTGCATAAACCAGAAAGTCTACGAAAGGCCTTATTTTCGATTTTTGTAATTTTGTTATGACTCAGGATAATGGATGTCACAACTGATACCGCAGCCAGATTTTCAAAGAGTTGTTCCGTTAAAGTAGAAAATTTATTAAATGACAAATCCAATGTAACGTTGCGGTTTATTAGCTCCTGTGGTATGTTTTCTGGTAGTCTGTCTGTATTGAGGCCACTACAATTCCATAGAATCCCAGAGTTTCCACATTCATCTATGTATGGTACTGTTGGACAAGGGTATGAAACAACATTTAGGCAACTAACTGCAAAAAAGACAGGATAATATATAGTATTTTCTTTTGTTTTTTGAGTAGAAAGCAGAAATCAAGATTTTGATAATTCTATTTTGTAAATGAAAGTTAGACTTCTAGAATAGATTTATCACCACAGACATTCCATCACTGAGTACACTTTTCTGTAGATAACCAGAAGAACTTTGAATAAGAAAACTAGGAACAGCCTTTCCCTATGGATGTAAGCGTTGGAAATCAATCCAATCCACAGTGTAACAATGCAAATATCGTTGGACGTTTTACATGTAATTATACACGGAGATGTAAGTGTAGGCATGGGCATCGTTCTCAAAATAAACATTAAAGGACAAACACAACGTAGTTTAAATTTTTTTGTCCTTTTCATGAAGTTGAAGAGTTTAAATACTTGAAAGAACTGTGTGGTTTATTTAAATGTTGATTAAAATTAACATCCGATACTTCAAATATGCAGTCGATAATAATTACCGTGACAGACAATAACCTGAATTGTCAGTCTGTCCATTCAGTTTTAGAAACTGCACATTGCTCAATATTAACACATATCTGGCTCTTTATTTACCTTCAAATCTGGTGATCCAGTTCCTTACAGTTTTATTCTCACTTGTAACATGGAAGAGATTGTTTACATTTGTGATGCCACAAAGGTGGCAAAAATAAATTATCTGAAAATGTCTTCCGACGATTTGATTTTGGCACTCTAAGGCAAGTAAGCACTATATTTGGATAAATACTTTCAAAATCTAAATTTGCCAAACTTGGTCTCAAGTATTTCAAGTATTGCAAAGTCATATATTTCTTCTAATTACCTGGCATTTCTCAATGTTGTAAGTAAGATTTGCCAATGTATTAGCGTCTTGTGTAACATTATTCATAGTTCTATCATTAATTTTGTAAACGTGGTCATGAAACAGCATATGAATGCTCAAATAGTTTGAAATCCTCTTTAGTCATCAGGTCTGTATAATTCAAATTAAATTAATATGAGGTCGGCACATGGCTGTTTATTTAAACTCTATTTTAGATAGCGAACTCAACATTGATGTTTTTAGAATGTTTTACATACACCCCTACTACTGTGTTCGGAACCTTGTATTTTTCGGTGCTCTGCACATTATAAAATCCGAAGAGTTCAGAGTACCTCTGGTGGCATCAGAGTAGCTCTGGGGTGGTTCTGGCGATAGTAGGCGAGACTGTAGAATGTGGCTAGCAAATGACTTGCGCGTGGAGACATGGTAAACAGAAAATTTATGTGGTGTTTCAGTTTTTGCCACCCCATATTATCGGTAGAAATGTACTTCAATCGACAAAAATTATTGCATGGGAATTGGGACTATAGTTTTTGGCGTTAGATTAGCAAATGAGGCATCAACATAATTTTAACTGAAAAAATCAGCTGAAAGAGAATTGCATTATCGGTTACTACGAATACTATAGGAATTTTACGCTTGAAAGAAAAGGAAAATCGTATGGCGATCGGAGAGGCACTACGACCATTTCCATCCATGCATTTCATAAATGAAAAGCATTTTTATAATTGTATTATTTTCTTCAGCTGTGATGTATCAACTCTCCTTTATGGATCGGAGTGGTGCTTGAGAATAAAAGAGGCAAACTACGATCCTTCCATACCACCTGCCTCCGCCGAATACTATGGATTTTCTGGACAGAGAAGATAACAAATGAAGACTTGCTGAGCAGATGCAAACAAGAGGACATAGGGACCATCATAACCAAACGCCAATGGAGGTGGATTGGAAATGGTCATGGACAGAAAGAGGGAGAGACCTAGAACATAGACCTAGGGAGAGGCCTAGGAGAGGCGAAGGACAGTAGATGGCGAGATGAAGGCAAGGCACCAGACCTGGGGATCGTTAACAAGGCTGGCCCAGGATAGACAAGGGTGGAGGAAGATTGTTGCTGCCCTACACACCACAGGGTTTAAAGGAAGATCATGATGATTATTTTCATGCTCACAATGACAAACAAATATTTTGTAAAAATAAATGTGGGAAGTCTAGATTTCTCAAAGTCATACTGCAATTGAAATCGATTTGCGTCTCCATTAATTCTTTTGTTGTACTTTCGGTGAATACAATTGTCAGGTGGGCCAAAACACGTGATCACGGGTATAGTTATGTTAAAACTGTTTTGTCCATTTAAATGCATAAGAGATGCTGTTCGTTTTCCTCGCCCTTCTGAACTTGACAAAGTACATTTATTAAACATATTTTTTCTAAATAATAGATTTAGAACGCCCGTGACATCTGTCATACTTTCTTTGTATTTTGTTCATAAGAACATTTTTTTTTGATTTTGCACTCCTTTGATATGATTATAGATTGACCTGAAACCACGTGTTCGAAGTAAAATATAAATATGTAGTTGGCGTAAACGTTGCTAATCAACGAATGGTCAGTTGCTCGTGGTAAGATCTTTTGTGCGTATTCATAACCATAGCCATATAAGGCAAACAAAGGTTTGTCAGTGTAGATGATATTAAACGATTTTACCAGCGTATCGGTCGCTAGTCTGCATTAATTTTCGCCTTAAATTATGATGAGTTACTGTATACACGGAAATTTTCGTCCCCGTTTAATTTTCGCCCCTTTCGCCCTCGTCGGAAGTGGGCGAATTTAAAACGGGGCGAATTCAAAGTAAACAGTATAGTATCTTAAACAAAAATTTTTCTAGGCGAATTTAAAACGGGGCAAACTTGTTTCCGTATATGAAAATAACACGGGGGGGGCGAAAATAACCCTGTATACAGTATATTGTTAGCCACCATTTTCTGTTAAAAATCATGAAAGTCTTTCAGAAAGGACTATACCAATTTCCTGTTTACTGCCAATTATATATATAAAACTTGTTCCATCCTATAACCTTTGAATGCGTCAACCTAATACACGTGTCTTGAATTTAAATCACAATAACATTAGTAGTGGGTGACATAGACGCTTACTTATGTCAATCAGTTAAGCATATGACTTCTCATTATGACCTGTTATCTAGTCAGTGAGGTCAGCACAGTTTGTTCAAAATGTTTTAAACTATGTATCATGTGTTTCAACATATGGCTGCTCGAGTAAATTGTATCTTGATCATTAACTTCAAATATTGTGATATTATATGTTTTCTATCAAGAATGTGAGCTAAGTTATGAATTTAGCATATAGCTGCCCATATATTCTTAATTTTTAAATTATATATTTTAGTAATATACCAGGATTTCTTTTTCGTACGCCACCCTCTTGTTGAACAATTTTTATATCTAAAAAAAATAGCTTGGATAATCACTTAGTTGGAATGTTGATATATCGACTTTGAAAATGTTCATCATTTGACCTTATCCCAGCTTTTAACGTACAATACATAAAATAATTGTATATCATATATGCTTTTGACACCTTGGCACTTACATGTATCTTGGCAATAATTGACATGTTTATTTTTTTGTTTTCCTTAAATGGTTCAAGCAACAAGAAGAAGCTTCAGAAAAGGCATTAATTTTTCCAAAAGTGTATATCTTGCTTGATGAAAAAGTTGTGAATATAAAAATAAGATATCTGTTTCCTTCCTTGATTGCTTTACTAGAGTTAATGTCTACTGTAATTTAAGATTACAATGTGGAATATTTGCGACAATACACTTTATGTCATTAAGTACATTAAAAAAAATAAAAGCATGACAATTCAAAATACTCACAGAGAAGAAAATTGAGTATCCCTTGTCCTGTCATGATTCCTTCAGCTAGAGTGAATATGATTTTTAAACCCTGTCAGGATAATGAATGAAACATTTATTTAAAAAAAAATGCTTAAAACAGAATCAATGGAATAGCTTACATTTTTTCCTTCTTATTTTGCAATGAATTTTTAATTTTAACTAGGGCCTAATGAACTTCCTGAAAAAAGGCTGTAATTAATGGTACCAACTGACAAAACAAATTAAGCTTTTTTTTTTTTTTTTTTTTTTTTTTTTTTTTTACAAACACTGATCTGTGAGGATATTATCATAACAAATTTTGCAGTAAAAATGAAATTCTAATGTATTTTATGGATTTGCACTAATCGGCTTGGAGAGATAGCAGATACGAGCGCTGAGGATAAAATATATCTACTTACTGGTATATAAAAAGATGGATTTGGTCTAAAGAAATTAAAGATGCAGACCGATGGGAGCTTAACTTTAATCTGGACGGTTCCCAGAGATAAATCATTTAGTCGGACAAAGATAACGAACGCGAGCTCTAAGGATAAAAGTAATTAAAGAAACATTAAAATATGCATGACATGTATGGGAGTATAAATGTAGCTCAGTGGGACAATTCGGCAGTGGAAAGCTGAATTTTGTCTCTTTCTGGTTGCATTTATACAGGTAAAATTATTTTGTAGACTTGCGCGCGTTTTGGTTAACATTATTTAAATTTTCACATGGCTTATTTTATTTACAAGTTAAACTTTTTATATTTTAAGTAGTTATATTTCTAATAAGGTTTAGAATATTTTGTAAAATTATTTATTGAAATTATAAATATTAGAAATAGATTGTTTAACTAAATAAAGAGTGGAAAGCTGAATTTTGTCTCTTTCTGGTTGCATTTTTACAGGTTGGGTAACATCTCCACTCCCCATAACCTGTAATGCGCTGAACATGCAGGAAGAGAATAAATAAATCCAAGGGAGATAAAATGTAAACTGGGATATTTCGAATCGGGTAAACTTTATCTGGTCAGGACCAGGGAATTGGAGGAAGGTTTTCCCTGGCCCTTCAAACCTCTCACATGCGGAAAAGCGAACGATCCCGGCAGTTTACGACCAGATCCAGGAACCAGATAAGAATAATCTATAATATAGAAAACCCAAAAACAAGTTCACAAAACAAACAGAAATCCGAAAAACCAAAAAAATTCCCCACAAGAACATTTTAATTATTACGAAAAGTGGTGGAGAAATGGGACTTATACATTACATGGAAAAAAAACAGGACAAGCTGTTAATAACCACAGTTAAATTTCATCCAGTATCATTTGGGACTTATAAGGTTACAAAATAGTTGCAGTGATTCCTAGGAGTACGTACACAAATACGCAAGCAGTTAACAACGCCTCATTAGGACTATGCGTAGCAATCACATTATCCTTTGGTGAGCAGAGGAACTTGTGTTACTTCCAGGGGAAGCCTGACGTGCAGTGGCTAGATGTTGATCTTAGAAAAACTGAATTCGAGCGCTCTTCGACCGACTTGATGGTCTGTGGGAACTACAAACTTTAGTGCTAATCGTGCGATGTCCAATGTCATTCCGTCCTCTTGTAGTTGGATACACAAACTATAAGTCGTTTTGGACAATTGTTATGGCGCAGTACTGGTAAGAGGAAATGTCCGACACAGCCAGGAAACTCGTCATTCAAGGACATATATTTTTATTCAAAAGACTTTGAAGAAAATAGAATAGGGCAGGTAGGACATAATTTTTTTTTTTTTGTCAAATATGTCCAATCCTATAAAACTTGAAAAATTTAAAGGTGATGGTAGTCAGAATGTTGTTCTGTGGTTGACAAATTTTTTTCAATGGGCACGATTGTATGATTTATCTGATAACAAGATCGTTGATGCGTTTCCCTTCCATTTAGAAGGCCATGCAAAAGTTTGGTATGATTCGCTACTTTTTGAACAAAAGTCAAATCCAGATATCATTAAAACTTTGTTTCAGGAAAGATTCAGAGAGTTTGACAATTGTTTAGATTTGTCGGTACTGCAAATGAGACAAAATGTTACAAAATCAGTTGAAGATTTCTTATCAAGACTTATCAAAAATGCTTCAATTAAAAATATCCCGGAAAATGTATTATTGTCTGTTGCTATGAACGGATTAATAAATGATATTAAACCTTTTGTAGCAACACACAATCCTCAAACGATGGACAAATTAAGGCAAATTGCAATGTTGGCAGAGAAATCAAAAACATGTCAAATTAACACTTTGGAAAATATGTTGGCAGAGTTAAAGAATGTTAAAGATGAAATTCAAAAGATAAAAATTAATTCCGACATTCAAAATTTTCCTGAAAAATTTCATGAGCAACCACAAAATGCACAACAACAAAAACAACCATTCGTGCAGACATTTCTACCCAGGACACAAAAGTACACAACAATGCATACACGCAACAGAAAATATGCACTACAAACTAGACAGCAAAACCAATATCGGGTCCCACGACAACATACGTTTACTAATATGCAGAGAAGAGGTAGTAATAATCCTACTAATTCACCAATGCAACGCATGAATTTCCCTGCATGTAATTTTTGTGTAGGAATGTGCATGAACAGAACAATGTGTCCAGCTAGAAATGTTGTGTGTAATACGTGTCAAAAATTTGGTCATTTTTCAAGAGCATGTGGACAAACAAGGAACCGCAAACGAGGATTCGAGGCCGTCTCTTACAAAATGAAAAATAAACAAATAAATAAAAGGTGTACTGTAAAAAATAAGGGCAAGCAAAATAGTGAAACAGTAGAGGCGTTGATCAGTTTTGCAGACAAATGTTATGTCCCTGTGTTTATGGAGCATTTCAAATTCAATGCTCTACTAGATACCGGATCTTCTATTTCTGCGATCAATTCACAGGTTCTGAGCAAATTGAAAACACAGAAAAGGCAGATTAAAGATTCAGAAATATCCAGTATAACTGGGGCAGGGGGAACGTCACATCCGGTAAATGGAAAAGTTGACTTACAAATAAAGATAGGAGGTCTCAGTTTAAGTCATACTTTCTATATTATTGAAGCATTGTGCCATCCGGTCATTCTGGGTACTGACTTTATGAAACAACAAAATGCATGTTTAGATTGGGGCTCAAGAACTTTGCACTTGCAAGAATATTCAGCTCATATCAATGTTATCAATTTTAAGCTAGGATTGGCAAGAGTTGCCAAATCAATGACCATTCCTCCAGACTCTATGATAAACATGCCTGTTAGATTATCCCGTACTAAATACAAAGCCACGGTGCTATTAGAACCAAAGGCTACTAAACGGACAGGTCTTGCGGTTGCAAAATGTGTGGTCATAAATAAACCGAGACAGGTGTTTATGCAGGTCACGAATACGACCAAGGATGGAATAAACATTCCTGCTGGAACAATTATAGCTTCCGTGAATCCCATTGATGACGCGAGGATATTTTCTTTGGATAAACAAAACGAAAAAATTGCCTCAAAAGAAAAATCAGTATCTCAGGAAAAATTAGTATCTCTGGATTTGTCATCTTCCATTCTATCTAAGAAAGAGAAGGAATTTTTTCAAATATTTATAAATAAAAACAGTGATGTCTTTGCAAACAATTTATCAGAATTGGGCAAGTGTAATGTTTTCCGTCATTCAATTGTCACTGAAGATGATAAGCCAATAAGATCCCAACCATATCGTACGTCTCCAAAGGCTAAGAAAGAAATTGAAAAACAAATTAATGAAATGCTTAAACATGACATAATTGAAGAGAGTACGTCTTCTTTTGCATCACCAGTCGTGTTAGTGAAAAAACCAAATAATGAATACAGATTTGCAATTGATTATCGAAAATTAAACGCAATAACACCAGTTCAAACGTTTCCATCAGTGCGCTTGGAAGACGTTTTTGATGCAATTGGACAAAACAAAGCAAAAATATTCTCTACTTTGGATTTAGCATCTGGCTATTGGCAAGTCGCTTTAGATGAAAATACAAAACACAAAACTGCGTTCATTACGCATGATAATTTATATCAATTCAAAAGAATGCCGTTTGGTCTTGTCAATGCCCCAGCAACTTTTCAAATGCTCATGAATATGGTTCTAAAAGGTCTTACGTGGAAACATTGTTTGGTTTACATCGATGACATCATTGTATGGTCAGATACTTTTGAAAATCATTTGAAACATCTTAATTTGATTTTTGATCGTTTACGACAAGCAAACCTGACTTTAAAACCGAAAAAGTGTTCATTTGCAAAACCGGAGGTTACATATCTGGGTCATATAATATCTACTGAGGGAATAAAAGTAGACCCTTCAAAAGTTGACGCGGTTCAGTCATTTCCATTGCCACAAAATCAGCATGATATTCGCAGTTTTCTCGGATTAGCAAATTATTATCGAAAATTTGTAAAAGGCTACTCAAAAATTGCATTGCCTCTAAATAGGTTATTAACAAAAGATACTCCTTTCAAATGGACCTATGATTGTCAAATTGCTTTTGATACACTTAAACAAGCCTTAACAACAACACCAGTTTTAGCCTATCCAGATTTTCAAAAACCATTTATATTGTCATGTGACGCGTCAGGTATGGCTATTGGATATGTGTTGTCTCAAATAGGGGATGATAATAAAGAACATGCAATTGCATACGGAGGAAGAGCTCTTAATAAGTATGAAAAAGCATATTCAGTGACTGAACAAGAAATGCTCGCTTTGGTGTCAGCAATAGCGCATTTTCGTGTATATTTGTTAAACAATAAATTTCTGGTCTACACTGACCATAAAGCATTAACTTGGTTAAAGACTATTAAACACACAAATGCGAGATTAATAAGATGGGCATTAAAATTACAAGAATATTCCTTTGAAGTAAAACATCGACCAGGAATAAAACATCAAAATTGTGATGCACTATCTAGAAGGCCTTATTCAAAACAAATGAACACTTCTGAAGAAAAGGATGATATAATTCCACATGAGATAACAGAAGTTACATTTATATTTCCAAATGACAATCAACACCATATCTTGGAAATGAATGACA